ACAACTATGTACTGGGGGGCTTTGGGGAGAAAAAGGAAAAATAAAATCTTTATTCATTTATTTTTGGAGGAAGATCAGCCCTGAGCTAACATCCGTGCTCATCTTCCTCTATTTTATGTGGGACGCCTACCACAGCATGGCTTGCCAAGTGGTGCCATGTCCACACCTGGGATCCGAACCGGGGAACCCTAGGTCACCAAAGCGGAACATGCAAACTCAATGACTGTGCCACTGGGCCAGCCACTAAAATCTTTAAAAAAAAAATAAAAAAGAAGAAGAAGAAGAATGCAAGCAGTAACAGTTAATCAAAGCCTATTTTTTCTTTTAATGTCTATTTGGCTTTTAAACACTTACCTTTCTTGATTACCTGATTATAAGAGTAAATAGATAATTTTATAATATTTAAGAAAGTGTACAAGATTAGATGAGAAGATTTACAAAAAATTGTGGTTTATTCCACTATTATTGCTCCTAATGAGGAAATATACGTGTTGGAAAGTTAGGTCTATATATCTACACATTGAATTGAAATGGTCTTTCAATGAGATACGGATATATTGATGGTCAAGATTTAAAAGTCCTATAGACAATTTAAAAAATGTCACCTCCCACACCCTTTCATGCATAAATCATATTTGTCATGTTATTTTGATTTATAGTATATTTGATTTAATACTTACCTCCTGTTTAATTTAGAGATCAAATGCATCTAATTGTTTATAGACAAATGCCACAGAGATGACAATAATTTCTATTCTGTGCTCTATGGCTCCCTTTAATTGACACTGCAACAGATATTTAAATATTAAATAAATTATCAGCTAAAACTGATTATTCTGAATAATTTAAAAAAGAAGATTTAAAAGTCCTTTCACGTCATCATTTTTCTCTTTAAGAATTATTATTCCAGGGGCCGGCCCCGTGGCTGAGCGGTTAAGTTCACGTGCTCTGCTTCGGTGGCCCAGGGTTTCACCAGTTCAATTCGTGGGTGCAGATATGGCACCACTCATCAAGCCATGCTGAGGCGGTGTCCCACATGCCACAACTAGAAAGATCTATGACTAAAAATACACAACTATGTACCGGAGGGCTTTGGGAGAAAAAGGAAAAAAAAAAAAGAATTATTATTCCAAATAAAGTTGTCTAAAGTCAGACTGTGGAAAATTTCTAAAATCATTCATTCTTCTTGATTTTTATTTCTTATCAAATTACTATAATTGCGACATAACACAACCATGCTATTTCAAAATTAAACTCAATTTGTTACAAACACATCCAAGTCTTCAATAAAAAGGGAGGAAATAAAGAAATGTATCACTAACATATATAAAGATCACCTAAAAGTTGGAGATGCCCTAATCCCTTTCCTGGAGAGTAACGAAAACAAAGAGTAAATGATTACAGGAAATCCAGAAAGCAGGGTTCCGAGCAGTGAACCATCAGAGGACTGCCACAACGATCAGGGCATTATAACGCGTGTTTCTAGAAGTGAGCGGAACACGTTGGTGAACCAAAAGTGCCTTTACCTTTTAAGTATAATGTTCTTTGTATAAATTGCAAGCGATTTACTAAACAAAGAACTGAAAGATTAATTACACATCATTAATTAATGGTAAAGGCACGTTTCACTTAAAAACAACAACAGAAAACCCTGAAGACTTTCTAACTAGCTGTAGTACAAGTCAGCTCATATGTAAGATTTAAGAAAAATTCCACTGGAGCCACTCTTAATGCCCTTTTATGCTCAAAGAAAAGTTCCCCCGGTGTTTCTTCCACAGTCCTAACCCTTCCTCGATAGATCCTTCATATTTGCAATCCCGCTGGACCTCTACTTCTCACTTATACTACCAGGTTGATGGCCTTTTGACAATTACACACTGTGTTACTTTCCCTCTTAATTCTTCCCACAGCCAAAATCCATTTAGTCGTCCCAATCTCCCAATCTCATGATAACTACAAGGGTTTTTAAGAACTTCTGTTTAATTTCAAAACCACACTGTTTATCATATTTGGTGTTTACATAAAGAGACTATACTCAATCCGCTTTTTAAATTCTTAACTAGTAATCACCTTCACTTTGCATTCTATGTCAGATGGTGTTTTTTACAGTATCTGGTTTTGAAGGGTCCTCCACACTCTCAAAATCAAAAGCCTCTTGAGGAATCTTAAATTAATCTTAGATTGGGGCCTTGGAGTCCTTAGGTGAAAAGAGTCTGAAAAATATAGATAAAAACTACGAAGTTGCTTTAAAAATTAACCTTCAGTAGACTTTCTTACTAGCTATGTCAGGTATCAGTAAAACGTTTACTAGTGGTGACAGTATTATCTGCAGTGATATAGCCTCTCGCTCCTAAATGTTCCAAAGGGATGCTGGTTAGAGGAGAGAGATCCTTAAGTCCTACAAGAAAGTACAAGCTAGTGGTCTAGAGGACATGTGCAGGAAACACAGGGCAAGGCAAGATAGTAAATTGAGCATCTAGAAAGAAAAATGTAAAAAGGAATAGAAAAGGAGATATAGTCAGTTGTTCTGTGACTATAACCCCACACCAAAATGAGGTGAGTTATTCTTGAACTCCAGAATTCCAAATGTTTGATTAACCATAACTCTGGCAAAACATAGTAGGAGTGGGGGTGGCAGTGAAAGGGCACACGTGGTAATATCATCTGGGCATTTACATATAACTGTTAACAGAGCTGATAAAACATGCTTCATATATATAGAGAGAAGCATTCAAAATATTTAACAAGTGGTATGGCACCCTTCAGAATGGACACTAGTCAGTGAGTCATAGGGAGTGCACCTGATGAACGCCAGCCCTGGATCCAGGACATGACTCACATGGTTTGAAGAAGAAACCTGCACCTTCATACCAGATTCTCGTCTGCTTGCCATTTCTCACTGTGAAATGTCTGGGTGTTCTATGGGTGGGAACAGAGGGAGATGCAGTGCTCACACAAAGACTAAGAGTGAGGAGGGGGAGAAATCCTTAAAAATACCACAAATACCAATATGAAAAACAGGACAGCCACTGCCCTGAGCTATGTACTGAAAGCCTGGGAACTTAATGAAGGGGCATAACTGCACACAACTTAGGAGAGACAGATCACAAAACCATTTGCAGATGGTGAGGAGTTCATTCTCAAACTGTGTATCAGGTATAGAGGTGCATAAACAAATTCTAAGTATTTACTTTCAGGAAAAGAATAAAGGCCAGGTTGCCAGGGGTGGGTTCTTATTTTAAAAAAGGACTAATTAGCTTTTCATTCATGGAAAGGACTTAAATTTCCACTCGATCTTCCAGTTTGGGATATGGAAAACTGAGTAGTTGTCCACAGTGGGGTGATCAAAGTACTACACTAAGGCCAATTGGCAAATAATGATTTTAAGAATGCCTAATTTATAATTAGGGAAACCCCTCCCTAATGTACCTAGGTAAATAGAGTACCCAAACTTAACAGAAATGAAATCAAAGAGAAATTATTCCAAATTTTCCACAACAATCAGGATGGAGATGCAATCAGGATGGAGATGCAATCAAGTCAGCATTCTTCATAGCGGTATGTGGGAGTGGACCAAAAGGAAGCAAAGTCCTCTCTACAGAATAACAGGAATGTAGTAAGGACAGCAGTAAAATGCGACAACAGTGTTCTGAAGCCTCCCCAAGATGTACGATAGGAACATTTCTGAGCTGTTAGACAGTAAAATTGGGCTTAAGGACTACATAATGTAAATCTACCAGTTTGAACTATAAATCTTATAACAACTTTAAGCATCAAACTAGCAGTGTAAGTGGGAATGAATATGAATCTGTATTACTCACAGCTGTACCAGCACAACTGTAGTGGAGACAGAATAGAAAAGTGATTAAGTAGGGACACTACAACCCAGAGGGACTCTGGCTGAGTTCACATACCCGGCTCTGCCCCTTTCTAGCTATATGTCCCTGCACACACTACTTTATTTCTCTTGAGTTTCAGTTAATTTTTTTTAGTACACTTAGACACTTACTAGTTGATGCAATGTGCAGCTGCTTGTGCCAAAATTCTCCAAATTCCATAACTACAGTTCAATCTCTCATCTCACTTTATCTGTTACCACCTATGGTAAAGGTTTGGGAAGGAACTCTTTTGGGTACACTTTATCATTTCTTGAAGTTAGAAGTATGCTGACTCAGACGTCAAGTAAAATACCCAAAAACACTTCAAGGCAAGGCGTGTATTATTCTGAGTCCTTGGCATTTAGCCACTGAAAAAGATCAGGGTAGGAGGAACTTCCATGGACCTCAGAGCTTTGACCTATGAAGCAAGAGATTTGATCTGATGAAAACTAAGTAAGGTCAGTGAATATTACAATGAAATACGACAATAGATTGTTACTTAATAAATGACCAAGATCTTTAAATTTCCTTGTGAAGGTTTCCTTACAGAATAATTAAGCAGGTAGCAAGAATACTATAAAAAGAGATATGTTGCAGGTTGGGGAGCTTTAAACTTTCCACAATGCATTTACTGAAGGGATCCTGAATTTGGTTAAGATTGCAGATTTTAGAACAGGGCAAGAAAGCCTCCTGTGGACAAATGAGGGGCACACATACAGACTCCTAGGATGTGTAGAATTTGTTGTTAAAAGATAACTTTAGGGGGCTGGCCTGGCTGCATAGTGGTTAAGCTCGTGTGCTCTGAACCTGGGTGTGGACCTACACATTGCTCATCAAGGCATGCTATGGTGGCATCCCATGTACAAAAAATAGAGGAAGACTGGCACAGACGTTAGCTCAATGACATCTTCCTCAAGCAAAAAGAGGAAGATTGGCAACAGACATTAGCTCAGGGCCAATCTTCCTCACCAAAAGGAAAAAAAGAAAAAGAAGATACTTTCAATGATTATTAAGCAAACAGTATCAGTACACTTAGCAGGAGGTAGATGATACTGACCTAGATTTATGTTAGAAATAATGAACTTTACAACATCATTTTATTCACAAGGCTACTTCACTTACCACTTCTGTTGATGTTTCTGCGTGTTCAGAAGTAACGTGTTCTTGAAGAGATGTCTCCGTATAGCCCATTTTTCCACAATAGGGACAAGTAAAAGACTGTGGCTGCTCTACAGAGAAAGCTTCCCCACCATAGTACAAATCTGAAAAATAAAGTGGAATTCTATTGAGAAATATTATGATTTTTTTAAATATATAAAAATGTAATCCTATGATAAAATAATGTAAAAAAAAAAAAAAAAGTGCCCCTGAAATCTCCACCAGCAACCTCACTCTGTCAAGGAGTGCTCAGCTGCCTCTCTGTTTACATCTGAAACAGCCTTGTTCTCCCAGCGACTCCACGAAACCCTCCAAAATTCCTGCTCCATATTGTTACCATAGCCTTAAGAGAAATGCAAAACAAACAGCTTTTTATCCTTTCACTTAATTTGGAAGTAGTTCTTATTTCACATCTGGTCCTAATTTTATTGTAATTTATTTTTTCTTTATCTCTGTATATACTGTGGCAATGCCAGTGTCAACACAACGAATCAGCAGGGTATATCACATACGAGAACATAAGTGCTCAGAGGGAAAGAACAGATGACCATGATCAATTTGCCAACTTTGAGATGCAGCTATCTGTCAATACAAGACACTATTCTTACAGCAGGAAAGGCCCTAAACATTCAGCTCCTGTCAATGCTGACTTGAATGGGGTCCTCCCATAACACATTCTGCCCAACTTGGTTACTGAAGAACGACCAATTAGTGAGAGTCTGTGGGAATAATTTATTTACCTCATTAGTACATCTCAGGGAATAAGTCTATTTTTCTCCATTAGGAGCACAAAAGGAAATGCAACTGAAAGTTCATTTAGTATGTTATACCCCTTACTACAAAAAATTAGCTCATTACTTAACATGAAACAAATGTCTAATTTAAGAGGATAGGATCAATTTTGTGAGAAGAGAAAATGGAAGGATGTGTTCACTATGTGATAGATTTGTTCACATTCATTTTTAGGGAGGTTTAAACTTAACTATCTTAATATTTAAATATCTTAAATATTTACCCAGTACATATATATTGACCATTTATTATGTGTATAACACTTGCTAGATAGATTTGGGGAAGGTGGGGATAAATATATAAAAAAGAATAGAACTCCTCATTTGATAAAGGGCATCTACAAAAAACCCATAGCTAACACCATACTTACTGGTAAAAAAAGTGGATGCTTTCTCCCTAAGACCAGAAATAAGACAACAATGTCCACTTTTGCCTTTTCTATTCAATATTTTACTGGGGAGATCTAACCAGAGTAAATAGGTAAGAAAATGAAACGAAAGGCACCCAGATGGAAAGGAAGAAGTAAAACTCTCTCTATTAGCAGATGACGTGACCTTGTATAGAGAAAATCCTAAAGAATATACTAATAAACTATTAGAACTAATAAACAAGTACAGCAACATCACAGGATACAATATCTATATACAAAAACCAACTGTTTTTCTATACACTTGCAGTGAACAATCCAAAAATTACATTAAAAAATTCTATTTACAATAGCAAAAAGAACAAAATATTTTAGAATACATTTAATCATAAAAGTGTAAAACTTTATCCTCTGATAACTACAAAATTACAGACAACCTAAATATATGGAAAGACATCCCATGTTCATGGATTGGCAGACTTAATATTGTTACTCTCCAAATTGATCTAAAGATTCAAAACAATCCCTGTCAAAACCCCAGGTGGCTTCTTTGCAGAAATTTGACAAGCTGATCCTAAAATTCACACAGAAACTCAAGAGATCTAGAATACCCAAAACAAACTTGAAAAAGAACAAAGTTGGAAGACTCACACTTCTTGATTTCAAAGCTTACTACAAAGCCACAGTAATCAAGACAGTGTGGTACTGGCATAAAGATGGACATATAAATCAGTGGAATAGACTGAGAGCCCAGAAATAAATGCTCACATTTATAGTCAACTGACCTTTCTTTTTTAACAACTTTACGGAGTTACCCTTTTTTTTAAAAAAAAGATTTTATTTTTTCCTTTTTTTCCCCAAAGCCCCCCCAGTACATAGTTGTATATTTTAGTTGTGGGTCCTTCTAGTTGTGGCATGTGGGACGCCGCCTCAGCATGGCCTGACAAGTGGTGCCATGTCCGCGCCCAGGATCCAAACCAGTGAAATCCTGGGCCGCCGAAGCAGAGTGCACGAACTTAACCACTTGGCCACGGGCTGGCCCCTACTGAGTTATCTTTAACATATAAAAATTCTATATATTTATGGTGTACAACTTGATGTTTTGACATACGCATCCACTGTAAAAAGATCACCACAGTTCAAGCTAATTAACATAACCACCACTTCTACATAGTTACCATTATGTGTGTGTACAGTGAGAAGATTTAAGATATATCCTCTTTGAAAATTTCAAGTATGCAATATTGTTAATGTTATGGTCACTAGGCTGTACATTAGATCTCTAGAACTTAATTCATCTTGTGTAACAAAACTTTGTACCCTTTGACCAACATTGCACCCTGGTTAACTGATTTTCATTCAAGATAATTGATTAGGTAAAGAATACCCAATCATTTTCAACAAACGATGCTGGGATAATTGGATATCCATATGCAAAGGAATGAAGCTGGACCTCTACCTCATTCCACAGATAAAAATTAACTCAAAGGGGATCAAAGAAATAAACATAAAAACTATAAAACTCTTAGAAGAAAACATAGGTTTAAATCTTCATCTTGGATTAGACAATGTTTTCTGGATATGACACCAAAAGCACAACAAAAGAAAAAAATAGATAAAATGGACATCACTAAAATTAAAACTTTTGTGCTTCAAAACACACATCAAAAAAATAAAAAGACAATCCACAGAATAGGAGAAAATTTCTGCAAATCATCTATTTGATAAGAAACTTGTATACAGAATATACAAAGAACTATTAAAATTTAGTAATAGGGGCTGGCCCTGTGGCGGAGTGGTTAAGTTCGTGTATTCTGCTTCGGCAGCCCAGGATTTCACTGGTTCGAATCCTGGGCACGGACATGGCGCCACTCATCAGGCCATGCTGAGGCAGCGTCCCACATGCCACCACTAAAAATACACAACTATGTGCTGGGGGTTTTGAGGAGAAAAAGGAAAAATAAAATCTTAAAAAAAAAAATAGTAATAAAAAGATATATTGCCCAGTTAAAAAATGGGCAAAGGATGTGAACTGACATTTCTCTAAAGTAGATATACATACAAATAGCCAATAAGCACGACAAAAGAGGCTCAACATCATTAGCCATCAGAGAAAAGCATATCCAAACCACATGAGATATCACTTCACACTGGCTAGAATGGCTACAACCAAAAGGATAGAGGATAAGTGCCGACGAGGTAAGAAATCATAGTGTGAGACATTTATAGACGAGGTAAGAAATCATAGCGTGAGACATTTATAGCTTTTCTCACGCAGTGACAATGTCTTCTAATCTACTGCAGAAATAATCTGCTTTCTGATAACTAGAGCAAGAACACTTGTGCACTGTTAGCAAGAAGAGTTTCACTTTCTTTTTTACTGAGGCATTCTTCCATTTCATACCCTGTCAGCTGCATATATTGCTGAATGGCTTTCATAAACAAGTAAACTATGATTTAAGAGAAAGAATTACTCAGAATATCAAAGTAAGATTCATTTTACTTTTCAGGAACTTGGAACCTCACGTATGCTACTGGGGATAGTTTTAGAACACTTTCCTTTACTTCTTCACACACATACACAGAAAATTTTAAATGATAATCCATTAAAGCTGTAATTAAATACGTACCAAAATCTACCCTTGTTAATATGCACTGCATTGGGTGGTCAGTTGTATGCCTCGTCGTCGTTGCACCACTTTCATAACAAGATGCACAAAGATCGTAATCGTAGCAAATTAAACACTTATATCTGCGACCTCGAAAATTTCCTTTTAAACATGCATCACAGCTGACACCTATAAAAAAAAATCATTAATTAGCAGTTGTAAAGGGAGACTCTCCATTTCATTTTCATAAAATTTAAGGTGTTTATTTAAGCCCATATTTCCTTTCCAAGCAACCAGAAATGACACAGTAAAATGATACAGGAATTTCCAACAATATGGTGGGTGTGTTACCCTGATCTATACTCCTAGTGAAAATGACTTAAAATGCTTGATAAAATGTAAAAACAACTTTTTAAATGCCTTCATGAGCTAGCAAGGAGGTAAAAACTGAATGAAACAGGAACTGGTAACTGAAATCACTAAAGGGGGCAGGCATTTGCCAAAGCAGGTAAAAATCTGAGCTTAGATTTTCACAGCATCGCAGGACAAAGGACAGAGAGCACAGACCAAGGTTGACCAGAGACTTCTTCATAAAGCTGAGACCCTGACATACCCTCAACGTATGGCTGAGCTAGAAATCCTCCCTAGGGGATCACAAAACGTGCCCTGGTGAAATTCCCTCTCCCCCTCATCACAAAGCAACAAGAAACCCTCAAAAGTCCAGCCCTCTTCTAGGTAAACAGCCCAAATTCAGACTACCAAATGGTTCCAAACACCTTGGGTCAATAATTTAGTTTAAAGTGGTCCTAAATTAGTATTGCCACTTAGCATCTGGCAGAAATAAACTTCCAAGGAATGAGAGTTCAAACACAAAATACACACACAAATAAAGCACCACCAGAAAGAAGTAGCAGAAACAGACAGCAGAATCAGACTGGCAAAGAGTTTATATCAGAATTGTATATCAAACAACAACACTTAGGTTAAAAGAAATAAAAGCTTGAAAGAGGCAACAAACAGATACGAAAATGAATCAAACAACATCTAGATACAAAAACAAATAGATTAACATTTAAAACTCATTGGGCAGGCTTAATAATAGAAAAAGCCTTCTATTTATATGTGATATACTTGTTTACATAGAAAACCCAAATACAGCTAAATTATTAGAATCCAATATTTTAAGCAAGGTTGCTAAATATAAAAAACAATTTAATAAAATATTGTGTTTCTTCACTCCAAAAAAGACAGAAAAATATATCATTAAAAAAGACAATATTTATGATTCCACTTATATGAAGAACTAGTCAGATTCATAGGAAAATAAGTCTAACAGTGATTATTGGGGGCTGGGTGGAAGGAGAAATGGGGAGTATTGTTTAATGGGTACAGGTTTCAGTTTGGGTTAATGGAAAAGTTCTGGAGATGAACAGTGGCGATCGTTGTACCACAACGTGAATGGACTTAATGTCACTGAATTATACATGCATAAACTGACACATGGTATATACGTTTTACCACAATAATAAAATTATGCCAGACTGGCCTGGTGGCATAGTGGTTAAGTTTGTGTGCTAAGCTTCTGCAGTCCGGGCTTTGCAGGTCTGGATCCCAGGCACGGACCTACACACTGCTCATTAAGCCATGCTGTGGTGGCATCCCACATACAAAATAGAGGAAAACTGGCACAGCTGTTAGCTTCTTAGCTCAGCGACAATCTTCCTCAAGCAAAAAGAGGAAGATCGGCAACAGATGTTAGCTCAGGGCCAATCTTCCTCAACACCCCCCCTCCCCCCAAAATTATGCAATTTGCAAGAACATTTTTTTCTTTTTTTTTAAGATTGGCACCTGAGCTAACAACTGTTGCCAATCTTTTTTTTTTTTTTGCTTTGTCTCCCCAAATCCCCCCAGTACATAGTTGTATATTTTAGTTGTGCGTCCTTCTAGTTGTGGCATGTGGGATGCTGCCTCAGCATGGCCTGACAAGTGGTGCCATGTCTGCGCTCAGGATCCCAACTGAGGAAACCCTGGGCCACCGAAGTGGAGTGCACGAACTTAACTACTCGGCCACAGGTCCGGCCCCTTCAAGAACATTCTTTAAAAGCGCTTGTGGAAAAGTCTAGGCAAAGATGGATAGCCTTTTATGAAGGAAATTAGTAAAAATGTATTCAAAGACATTAAAGGACTTTAAAAATACCAGGTCATGAACTAGAAGGTTCAACATAATAAAATGTCAGTTCTCGCCAAACTGTTCTGTGGAGTCAATACAATTCTAATCAAAATCACAAAAAGAATTTTTTGCGAAACTTGATAAGCTGACTCAAAATTTTATGCAAGTTGCAAAGGGCCCAAAATAGCCAAGATACTCCTGAAGGAAAAACAAGATGGAGGGGGTTGCTTAACATATCAAGAGCTGTTAGAAAGCTACAGTTATTAAGATAGAATGGTACTGGCATAGAGACAAACTGACCTATGGAACAGAATAGAAAGCCCAGAAACAGATGCACACATGTTGAAATCTGTTTTATGACAGCAAGGTCACTAGAGATCAGGGGGAAAAGGAGGGAGTAGACAATAAATGTTGCTAGCACAGGTGATTATCCGCATGTAGGGAAAACAAAATTGGATCTCTTCCCCAGATCCCACACACACAAATCAATTCCAGATGGTTTAAAGACAAACATGAAAGGAAAACAAAAAAAATCTGTGGAAGATAATATAGGAGAGTATTTTTAGAATTCAGAGTAGGAAACAATTTCTTAAATCTCACACACACACACACACACACACACACACACACGGTCCAAACGATAAAGTAAGAGATAAATTCAACCACATTAAAATTAAGACTTTTCTTCATCTTTTAACATCCTAGAGTGACGGAAAAGATGAGTCCCAGAAACAGGTGATATGTGCAACATACAGGACAGACAAAAGTTTGGTATTCAGAATACAGTAAGAAGTCTCACATAGCAATAAGAAAATGACCACACTCAATAGAAAAATGGGCAAAGACTTCTCTAGGCACTACAAAGAACAAACAAAAATGGCCAATAAATATATGAAAAGATGCTCAATCTCATCAGTCATCAAAGGAGCAAATAAAGTCATCATGAGCTACCATTTTGTATCTACCAATTTGGCAAAAGACTAGAAGTCTGCTACCAAGTGCGAGAGAAGATAAGGAGCAAGAGAAACGCGTCTGCTCTACCAGTGGAAGCATACACCAATACAACCACTTTGAACATTTTGTTCATATTCTAGTCAAGTTAAACATGCAATTTCTATGCCTCTGCAATCTCACTCTTAAATACATTCCCTGGGAAAACTTTTGTCCACGTCCACCAGAATAATGCAGAAAAATGTTCACAGCAGTTTATGCAATTGAAAAAAAAGGCCATTAACAGCCCAAAGGTCCATCAACAGTCCATTATAGAACGAATTAAAAAAGAATGAATCACAGCCACAGGTGAGGACTTCTGAGAATCTCAGATGAGTGAAAGAAAGTCTCAAAGAATACATATAGCATAAAGTTCAAAAACAATATCTAGTTTAGGAAGTCAAATATGTAGTAAAACTACAAAAGGAAAACAAAGGAATGATAAAATTTTGGTCGTCGTTCCCTCTGGAGAGTGTGGAGCCCTCCAGAGGTGGTTCTTTTAGATCTGGCTGAGGGGACCTGTAGTACCATTCTTTTCCTTGTACTTGTTTGACAAATGTTCTCACATATCCACTCAATTTTTTAAAAAGTCCACTCTCCCTCCAATCAAAAAAATAAAAACAAAAAGACAAAGCTGGGATTATAACAACCTGTAGGCTGTCTGTTCAAGGTAGAAAACTAGCACAGTTTTTGGCAGACTGCAGATTCTCAGTAAAAGTTTGTTGAATGAATACATCCTTACTTTAAAAAGAACATGGGATTCCAGTTATCTAAATCTTAATGGCCATGGCTCTCCTAAGGGGTGAGGGTGGGAGTGGTGTCTGGCTTCACCTACAACCCAGCAGGAGTTCAGTATGGGGCTAGCCCCATGGCGGAGTGGTTAAGATCGCACGCTCTGCGTTGGCGGCCCAGAGTTTCGCCGGTTTGGATCCTGGGCACAGACATGGTACGGCTCATCAAGCCATGCTGAGGTGGCGTCCCACATGCCACAACTAAAAGGAATCACAACGGAAAAATATACAACTATGTACTAGGGGGCTTTGGGGAGAAAAAGGAAAAAAAAACCTTAAAAAAAAAGAAATAGATTTAAAAAAGTGTATTAACTATTTTTGATGAAATCATTTATAAAATGTATGTTTTTCTAACTTCTTAAACACTAAAAGACATTTAACAACTTTTATGACTCAAGATCATTATTTCAAACACAAATACATATTTAAGTCATACCATCGATCATTATGTTAGGTAAGTTAGGTTTTCAGCAGGGTTTCTTACAACTTAAGACTCACTTTATAATAATCTATGGCGGCAAGTATGCTATAGAGGATTTTTTTGTGATTAGTGTACTATGAATAAAAATGTTTCATAACATATAGTTTTCCATATAGCCCGCTATCCCTTGTCATTATAATAGTGCTGCCCTTTGATGCTTCTAAACAGTCGTCGTAAGCTTCATAGAAGATCCTAACTTTATAAAGATACCATACCACCTCTGACTTGAAAGCATCTCTAAGTCTCTAAATAAAAGCACAGAAGCGTGTAAAGGCTTTGCCACAGTTTTTCAATAGCAATCCTGTCTTCCCTCGCTCCCACATAGAATTACTAAATCTCATTTAGCTTTCAAAAGAACCCCAGATTTCCCACTCAAAACAGGGGCCCTTCTAAGTATATCTGTCAGAATTCATTTTATAACACAGACTAATGAAATTTCCTCCCTTAGGGTCAAAGATGGGAGCTCCTATCAGAGGGAGTAAGTTAGCTTTTTGCCGCATAGGTCCTTGGCTGACTGACAATAGTGCTTCTACGTGGTACCAGAAGGCTAAAAAATCTGAAACAGAACATATATGTGGCATATGTAAAATCAGCAACTTCTTGATAGGAAGAATGGAGTTGCTTCTGATGAGATAGTAAGATATATTTAAGACATTAAGAATTAAAGTTCCAGGGGGCTGGCCCCGTGGCCGAGTGGTTAAGTTCACGTGCTCCACTGCAGGTGGCCCAGTGTTTCGTCGGTTCGAATCCTGGGCAC